TCCCTAAATGGCAATTAGTTCAATTCTTCTTTGAAAGTTTGTCGTATAATTATAAAGGAATGGTTGATGCCTCTATGGGTGGTTCTTATCTTGATAGGCATGAAGATGATGTATGGTGCTTATATGAGAGCATGAGTGAGAATTCAATGCATTGATATTTATCATCCAAAAATGGTAGAAATATAGGTGGAAGGAAGAATGTCGGCTTATATCAAATTGATAATTCTAATGCTATAGCCACCGAAGTAAAGTCTTTATCCCAAAGGTTTGATCAATTTTTGATCAACCAAAATTCGGTGAAGCAATTGTCTTCCTCCCCTAATCATACTCATCATCCTTCCAATGAATCATGCATGACTTGTTCTAGTGTTTTACATTCTACTTCCAACTGTTCTCATGGACATGCGCAAAGTGAACACCATGAATAAGTGAATGCCGCTTTTGTCAACCAAGGGAATAATCCCTATGGCACTCACTATAATGCCAGGTGGAGAAACCATCCAAACTTCTCTTGGAAAAGTCAAGGGGAAGGCTCAAATCCTCCCCAAAGTGGTTTCCAAAGCAAGTATGTTCCGCCCCCAATGCAAGGCTAAGGTTCCCAAGGTTATCGTTCATCTTATCAAGCACTAAATGGAAACCAATTTTCAAACTCTCATTTTCCAAACCAATCATTATATTCTCAAGTAAATTCAAAAAGTCCCGCATTTGAAGAAAAAGTTCTAACCGCTTTGGGTACTTTGGAAGCAAATACCCAATTGCTTCATTCACATTCCCAATCGATTGCAAAGCTAGAAACCCAAGTCAGGCAAATAGCTAGTACGTTGAATGTTAGGGAAAAAGGAAAAATGCTTTTGAATCCACCCCCCCCCCCCCCCCCCCAAGCAACAATTTGTTGTGGAGACTAATTCCTCTTTGGAAGGTCATAACCTTAAACATTTGAATGTAGTGACCACTTTGAGAAGTGGAAGAGTTGTTGACAACCAAGTTGGTGTTTCCAATGAAGAGAGTGAACCAATGTAACCCAAAGTTGACACCGGCCCCGTCTCACATCCTATTCCTCCTTCATTGCATGTGAAAGAATCCATTATTGAAAATATTTCTAAAAATGATTTTGAAATTTTTTTTAAGCCTAAGGCTCCATTTTCGGATGCTTTAAAAGCATCCACCTCTCTTGAAAAGCAACAAAGCAAGGCAAATGAAATAATTGATGTGTTTAGGAAAGTTAAAATCAATCTTCCTCTCTTAGATGCAATTTGACAAATTCCAGCCTATGCCAAATTCTTGAAAGACCTTTGCACCCTTAAGAGGAAGAACAAGAGTCAAGCACCTAAAAAAGTTATTTTAACCAAACAAGTAAGCTTAATCTTGCAACACACTACTCTCCCAAAATTTAAAGACCCCGGTTCACCAACTACTTTATGCACTATTGGTGATCATGTTATCAATCGGGCTCTTCTTGATTTAGGAGCGAGTGTGAATCTTCCCCCTTATTTGGTTTATGTTCAATTGGGTTTAGGTGATTTGAAACCAACGTCAGTAGTTTTGCAACTAGCCGACCGATCAATTAAGAAGCCCCGGGGTATCATTGAAGATGTATTGATTAAAATTGACAAGTTTTTCTACCCGGTCGATTTCGTTGTCATTGACACGAAGCTGGTCCCAAATCCTAAGAGCCAAATTCCCGTTATCCTTAGCCGTCCTTTCTTGGCTACTGCTAATGCCAACATTAATTGTAGGACGGGGATAATGAAGATTTCATTTGGTCACATGAAAGTGAAGTTGAACATTTTTAATCCAACCCCGAATTCAATGGACAAACATAAGGAGATATGTGTTGTTGAAAAATGTTTTGGAAATGAAAAAAATAAGTCTTTGCTTGGTATTGAAACTTCAAATGAGTTGTCTTCTAAAAAGGTTTCAAAACAAAGTGTATTCAAACCTAATGTTGAAAGGGCATGGAAGCCCAAAAGTTTTGTTGATAAAGGGCCATCAATTTCATTTAAACCAAATCCAACAAATTCCTTTGGGGATAGTTTGTTGGGTGGGGTTCAAAGTTCCATTCACCCCATCAAGGAGAGGATGCATACTAAGATCTTTGATCCAGGCTAAAAGAGCCCAACGTCTTGCTAAAGACGTTAAACACTAGTGCGTCGTAAGGTTTTTCAATCATAGTCCTCCCTTATTTCTCTTTTATTTTCTTTTTTTGCGTCGTCTAGATACAATCTGGGATTATATATGTTGTTTGAGACTTTGATAGAGAATGCATGTACTTTCATCTCTAAATTAGGCATTTAGTGCATGGTCGCTCGATCACAAGAAATATTCGATCGATCGAACATCATCTCTGCATATTTTCATCTTTCTGTTCCATCGTTCGAGATTCTCTGCATATTTCAAGTTTTCGTTTATCGTTCAAACTTTCTATTCGATTGTTCCTAGGGCATTTTGATCGATCCAGTTAACCCTGTGATCGATCTCATTTCCATACTTAGAAAATTTTTGAAGCTCTGAAAATTTTATCTCTTTATCCCATCGTTCGAATGCGCCTGTAGGTTTTCGGGTCTTGGATCGATCGCGTTCCGATCGATCATTCTTTGATCATTCTGAGTTCATTCTTTTGATTTTGACTTTTTAAAATTCAAATTTCAAAATTCAAATTATATATATATATATATATATATATATATATATATTTTAAAATTTTCAAAAATTTTAAAAAAAAATTCAAAAATATTTTGTCATTTTGTAGGTCCGATTGATCTGAGCACCTTCATGATCGATCTAGGTTCGATCGATTGAGCCATGTGATCGATCACATATGTCGGGAACAGTTTTTAAAAATAGACCCAAGGGTCATTTGGATCGTTCATTTCATCGATCCAAAGCCCTTCTTTCTCCCCCGAAGCTTTCCAGTCATCTTCCCCATCTCCGGCAAGATTTCAACGACTCCAAAAATCCATCTCCTCTATTTCTGATCTCGTCTCTCTTCTCTCTTCATCTCTCTTCTTGGATTTTAGTAAGTTCAAGCTTCCTTTGTCATTTTTATGTTGTTTCATGTGTTATCTTGATGCCATGTTTAGATTCAAAGCTTTTAAGGTTGATTTTGTTTCCATTTTTGGAATTGTAAGCATGTGTATACATATGTATATTTGTGTATATATCATTTTTATTTTTGAATTTGAATCGGGTGTCACGTGCCGTTTTAAGTGACCATATTTGCATTATTGAGGTGTATAGGGGGTCATGAGCCTTGAAGTGACTATTGGGATTCGCCCCGTATCTTTCACGTCACGAATGGATGACTTTTCATTTCTCAGCATGTTCGATCAATCACATCAGTGCTCTAATCATTCAGAGCATGATTGATCCAATGCATGTCATGATCGATCCAACATGGATCGATCACATTTTTCCATGATCGTTCGAACTACACTATTTTGCATATTGATACTCCTATACCCTCTCATGTGTTTTATGTATCATATCTATGCCCAATGCCTATGTTTTCCACGTTGGTTGCATTCTTTACTTGTCAAGTCTAGCATGTTTTACCATACTTAATGTATTAGAGTATACCCTTTATTCATTCATTGTATATACTTGGCTTGTATGACCACTTGCATAGATATATTCATGTGCTTCTATACTGTGATAATTGTTTCATTTAAGCATCGTGTTGTCTATCTTAATCTGACAAACATGTTTCTATCTTGTGTGCTTTCATTTTTGTATCTCATATACTATTTCCTGTTACTAACTACAATTGCAAGTATTCTTTCTTTTTGCAGGCCATGACTAGGTTCAAGACCACAACTAACCGGACTTATGAGCACCAGGTGAGGAAGCGAATTGAGGAGCCAGAGGAGCCAACTCCTGCACATTCAGAGTATTCCACTTCTTTATCTCAAGAGGGTGAGCCCACACCACCTCCTTCACCTATTCCCGTGCCTCTATCGGCACAGCCTGGGATTTTCTGAGACAGGGTTACTCTAAAGTTTATGCGCCTTTCAATGGCATATAAGTCTATATTTAATGAGGATTTCTTTGCATGGGTGGCCACGACCAAGTGGTCGTACGACGAGATCTACCATCGTCGCCTTTCTCCCATCTTGGCCCCCGTGACCAACCTGGTCTACCCGAGGCTCATTCGCCTGTTCTACCAAAACCTCAGGCTAGCTCTGAGTAACCTGGCAGAGCTACGGACCACCATATATGGGCATCTTATCCATATCACTATCGAGACACTATCGACAGCATCTCAGTGCCCACATATATATCCTCCGGGTATTGATTACCCGACTTTGCAGAGGCCATCAGATGCCGACATAGCCACAGCTCTTCATGGAACCATCACTACCGCCGACACTTATGCCACTCGGACATACCTGCCTGACTGCATGTGGTTCTTTAATTTGGTTTTATACTGAAATATATATATAGCTGGGCACAAGACCCAATAGTAGGCAGATTTCCTTGCAGCTTTATATGCCATCGATACAGGGCATTGGTTTTCAGTTCCTACACTCTATTGGAGTGTCATAATGAAGCTGTATGATGAGTTCATCAGCAAGAGTAACCCGCAGCGGCCCAAGTTCCTCCCTTATTCTCACTTGATTACACAAATCCTCCGGGACCAGCACTACCCATTTGACTAAGAGGAGGTACCCGAGGCTGGCGCTTGCCATTACAGGAAGAAGGACTGGAATAAGAGCTACAATGCTCTTATCAAGAGTCTAAATATTGAGGCAGCCCAGGAAGTGGAGGATGTAGAAGCAGAGGAGGAGGAGGCAGCAGCAGCAGTAGCCGCAGCAGCAGTGGCAGAGGCAGCAACAGCGAGAGTTGGTATTAACTTGGAGCAGGAGCCTCCAGTGGGATCTCCACACCCTTCTCAGGAGCAGAGTCACCACTCCTAGAGCCAGGACAAGTATCAATCTTCTAATGACTCAAGATTGCACCATCGGGATGATCCATTCATTCTTGATGCTCAAGCTCAGTCAGACATGCAAGAGGAACGTTTCCAGGCATTACAAGACGCAGTCCTTTCCTTCAGGGCAGATATGGCCACCCTCCGCACAAATGTTATGACTACACTACGAGACATATCCAGTCAGATTTGGGGTTCACTCCCTGCCAGACCGTCGTCTTCTGCCTGACCTCTCTTTATATCTCATCTTTATAGTTATGTTTTTAGAATGTTACTTTATGATACTATTATTGCATTTTTGCAGCCAGTCTGTTGGCTTGTTACCTGTGATGTACATTATACTTTCTTTATTTTTGGATATTTTGGATGTTTTGATCTCATGTTGATATTTTTGTTTATGTTGACTCCATTATCAGGTGCATTACAGTAACTTCAGTGGAGAATGCAACCCATATTTTTCAGGACCATCCTTATTCCTCTCTCTCTTTTATTTACTGTCCCACTTACATTAGCATGTCCACTGTGCACCATAATTTATCCCATTTTGTAACGACCAGTGTTTTTATTTAACCCAGTGGGTCAGTGATGAACTGAAGGTTGACCCGTTAACGGATCCAGATGTGAAAGCAAAGAATGAAACAACGGTCTCCCAAGGCACAACACACCTTTGAGACCCTAAGATAACCTCCTATGAGGTCACGGAACCCAAATGAATAAAGTGCGGAAGCAAAATAAAGACAAGTCCTTAGAGATGTACGTTATCCCTAAGACACAGGAGTGGACTTTGAAAGAGTTTCGAGGCTCAATGGAAACAAAATGAAGACAAGGGCATCAAAACCCCACCGAAAGAATGACCAAGGGTAAAATGGTCATCTTACCCAAAGAGGAAGGAATTTAACTTTCAACAAGTCAAATTAGATTAAAACATAGAAAACCATCCTTCGGTAACTTCACATTAAGTCCCAAGGCCAAAGGAAGAGAAATCCCAGATGAACCCTATCCCGGTTCGAACCAAATCTGACACCCTTTCACTAAAATGAGGATATCTTGATCTAGGAGAAGAATCTAAAGCTGAAATTGGTACCATTGGAAATATTACTTCGACGCGGTCAGTTTAGACTCATGAATGGACTAATTCCGAGTTGAAACGAAGAAGTTACGTCAGATTGAAGTTGGAAGTCCAAAACTGAAAACCCTGGAGGACTTGAACCAATTCAACATTCTTGAACCAGTTCAACATTGGTAGTATACCCAAGCTGAACCAAGCTGACACCTTGAACCGGTTCAACTATTCTTGAACCGGTTCGACTTGACCAGAGTTGAACTTAAACAGCAGAAACAATGAAAATGCAAAAAATTGAGTTCAGAGTGCAATTTTTGAGGTCAAGATGACATTTTTCGGAAAAATGTCGTGAAGAAACTCCCCTTAAAATCACATTTTCTATGTGAAAAAGTTAAGAATGGAATTTATTTCCCTAAGAAATTCCCTAAAATGCCCTTGGGCCGAGTTTTTCAACAAAAATGTGAAATGAATCCGTAGGAGGCTCAAAACACAAACGAAAGGGTTTTTCATGGAAACGATCATTCATACAAACGTAAATGGCTGAGTCAAAATCCGACCCTCCAACGGCCAAAAAGGCGAAAATTAACTTGAAATGAGAAAAGTGAAAACTAAAATTAGGAAATGGTTTCAAATGACCGTTTGGCCCTTGGCCACACTTCATACATATAAAATAGGTCCTAGTGGATGTGCCGTAACACACGTTACACCACCCGATTTGAAAATGAACCCCTAAAATACAAAAGTGGAAACAAAATGGTGTTTGGCCCTTGGCCACACCTCATACATGGTAAATGGATGGTAAATAATGAATTTCATACACAATGCACACTCCGGTGCAAAAATGACATATTAAAACCCTAATTTTCATACTTTTCTCATTAAGGGCAAAATTCTACATTTTTCAATATACATGGATTTCAAATGAAGTTCGGCCCTTGGCCACATATCATATACATGGAATGAGTATCAAAAAGTGTACTTAAGCAGATATTACAAGTCAAAGGCAAAAAACGACATTTCGACCTAATTACACAATACAACTCAAAAAGTGAACTTAAGCATGCTAACACTTGCATGTGAACAAGAAGACACTCAAATGAACTTCAATCCATCGAAACGATCCCAGGATATTGTGCATCCTACACCACGACATCTGTACCTGATAAAACCCCCGATAACTTCGGGGTGAGTAAACAAGTTTACTCGTAAAGAATGAGTATGCGTCAACTCGATTTCTTACAGATTTTTAGACTAACATGTAATAGTTCAAAAGGGTCATTCCACCTAACGTCTATGTCAAGGTGAGACTCAAGAATCATCCTAAGCTACTGTAGGGTATAAATCAATAAGAATCATAATATATAAACATATATGAGACGAATCAAGATTTGGAATAATCCAAAGAACACGACAAGAAGGGTGCTTGAACATAGATTTACATGAATTGAATTATCAATACAATTAAGCAAGGGTTAAAATAGTCTACACAACACAACAAAAAGGTACTAGAATATAAAGATCAAATTGTCAAGGCAATTTGCATGATTAGAACATTCCAATTTAACAAAACAAGAAGTATACATGGATATAAGTTGACAAGAATTACATTATCAATGCAATTAACATGATTGGAGCATTCCAATTAACACAATAGAAGTAACACACAAAATCAAGAACAAGGCATAATATCTATGCGATTAAACAAGGATGGAACATTTCCTATAACACGAAGGAGTTTTAAAAATTCGAGGAATGCAACATTTGAAATCTAAAGAGTGAAATCAAACAATGTGGAAACTTGGATATCGCCCGAATTAAAACCGTACTCTTAGGATCAATTTAGGGTTATCAACCCAAGGGTACCTTCCCCTAGTCTTGGGATCACTTTAGGGTTATCAACCCAAGGGTACCTTCCCCTATTCTTGGGATCACTTTAGAGCTATCAACCCAAGGGTACCTTCCCCTGTACTAGAGCCAAGTCCTAGCCATGACAATTCTTGATTGATATCCTAAGTCCCAAAATCAACAAGTTGTACAAGTCAAGATTTTATTAAAATACAAGAAATGTATTAACCACGTTTCATGCACAACCAAGATTTTGGAATACACAAGTCATGCCCTAAGTTCATCAACTATAATGGCATGTGAAATGTCAAGAAAACATAGTATGCATCTATATAGATTAGAACCAAGATATATAGCATAAGAAATCCATTGAAGTACATACACCACAAGTATAAGACACATAATTCAATTACTTATTTAACAACACATGAGTAACTTAAATCATTCTAAGACAACCATGCTAGTCCATTAACTACCTTAATGAGATCAAGATACAAGGGGTCTAGATACATGATGAAAAGCTAAAAGCTTCATGAAATACAGGTCCAACATCAAGTTACAAGTTCATTTCATACGAGACACGACCATGTGATTTAAATTCCATACAAAGGAAATAAGTAAATGTAAGTCTCAAGACTTATCAGATTATTCTTAATTGATACATGTGAGGAACTTGTCAAGAAAAGCATGAATTCCAAGTTAGAAACTTAACCAAGACCAAGAAGCTATTGAATGGATTTTAATTATTTCATTTAATTAAAATCTCTAGGTTTTGAAATTTATCTAAATGATCTCAAATTAATATATGTTATACAACATGTCAAGACTTGATTTACCAACACGATACAAGTGATTTTCATGCAATGTACGGTCATGAGTATTAAACTTTAATACTAAAAAAATAATAATTGAAAGGTTTCAAAACTTAATCAAATATTCTAGATTTAATATATGTGAAACCAAATGGCATGTATACCAAGATTATCAAGTCAGAAATCCAATGGAGTGAATAGTGCACTCGGAATAAATTAATTAATCAAATTAATCATTTGTCTCTAGATTTTAAAACATCATCAAATATTCTCAAATTCACATATGCTGAAGAGTATGCCAGAGCCTAATTTAATATGCTAACATACACCGACAAGCTAGTTAAGGCCACATGAATTAAATATTTATTCAAGATAAATATTAAATAAAATCTTTATTCCTTGTCCAAATACTCTAAATTTAATATATTTCAATGACCATATCAAGGGATAATATTCTATCATGCCACAAGTTTAAAACATGCTATAACCTATCGGGAAAATCAAATCTCATACATGAAAATTAAACAAATAAAAATTCTAGATTTGATATCCAAGTATGTATATGAGTTGTATATACATCATAAGCATGCAATATAACAAGAAAGTAAATTATAACACCCCCTATCTCGATTTGAGATGAAAATCTCAATGGCCCACCGAAATAAAAGTGCTCCGAATCCGACGATACCGAAGGGTTTTGTTGGAGACAACACGGTGAACAAGAATCCCCAAGAAGCCCCATGAAAATCCAAACTTGAACTTGAAACCCAAACTCAAATGTGGTCAGAAATGGATTCCAATAAGGGTGAAAGGTGTGCGTCGTCAAGATAAGCATTAAACGTTAAGGTCGAAGAGTTTTCACTCGAGGGAAGTGGCCAAAAAAAGAAGGAGAAGCATGGCAGCCCCTTGGCAACCATGGCTGCAGGCCAAGAGAGAGGAGAGAGAAAAGAAAATCTGACTTTTCTTCTTAAGACCCCTTATTTATAGAAAATCTCAAAAAGTGCCTCGAAAGGGCCCCTTTGGGTCTGGAAAAGTGGATTTTGAGAAAATGTGCTCAAACGGAAAAACTCTATGAATGAAAAAGATTAGAAATGAGAAAACATGAACAACGAAAGAAACGGCGTCAAAAACTGAGTACCGAACAGAAAGATATGCCCCGAACAAGTTCGACGGCAACCGGGAGTCAGAAACTCTGAAACTAGAGAAAAACAACCAGAACGGAATTCTAAGAGTACACGACTTGACAAAATATGATAATGAATCCTGTACGAGGATCCAAGCTTTAGACGAGATATTTTTACAATAATTTTCGTTAATTGCACAATGGCCCATACAAAAAGGGTTAACTGCACTAATGCCCGAGAATGAAAATATTTTCTTAGATACCCCTGAAATAAAATATCTTCAAAAGATATTTATGAAAAATTCCCCAAGAAATGAAAAAGATTTTGAAGAATTGTGCATCCATGCCCCTACGAACACCGGGAGCAACCAGAGTACTTTCTTGCAAAAGTAAAGATACGTATTTTGAGAAAACCGCTGAAGATGAAGGCACGTGAAGTCAAAAACCAACTCCGAGCATGAAAAGTGAGGTTGTGCCAAAAACTAACA